GATCAAAAAGAGATGGCGGCGACAAATTTATAATGTGTTTGTTCCTAAAAACTAAGTACATTTAACATACTTTAGTGTAAGGCCATTTTGTTAATCAGAGACCATTTTTCTTGCAAGAACATTCATGTAGATTTTAAAGCAACAAATACAGTAATTATTTAATTAGTAAATGGACTAATTTGTCCCTTATTTCTGTACACACAGCTACTGCATTTTAAATAACATTGAAATTGATCATCGCCGTTTATGATCAGGTTTTATTCCCTTCTGTAATTACTCGTACTGTGTACGTGAAGTTGAGGGATATTCTAGAGTCAATAAAAGGGTCGTCCACGTATTCATTATCTGGAATTCATTTGTGTAGAAATGTAGAACAGTATTTTTGATTTTGAACTATTTAATTGTTAAATTAAGTATGCATTAAATCCGTTTAATGATAATACTTTTTGATAGTTTAAGTGGCGTAACTTAGATATGTATGTACGATAACAATGAAACAGTAGAAACAAGCTTTCTCCGACTCTTATGCAGTCTTTTCTTGCTTGACAATGCAATTTAGTTGTCATATCTTCGCTATACTCAAATAATTTTTATAAAATCTTTCGCTTTTTGATACAGATATCATAATAGAAACGCATGATTTTGACTCATGTAACTTTAAGGACAGATTGGACAAAAAAAACCCTGAAAATAACCACTAAAGTAATAATTATATAAGTAAAATGAGTAACAAACATTTTTATTTCTCAATAATATCATATAAAGTGTTAAAAAAGGTACCGTGTAGCTTATAAGGGTGGGGAAATTATCTTTAAAAAAAAGAAAAATATATATCATATCCTTTGAAAGAAATTTTTGTTCTAATATTATACATGTAGAGTGGATAAAAATTATTTGTCTTGAAACTATGTGCGATAAAAATTATTCTTGAATTTTATAGAGCGATATAAATTTGTTCTTTAGGAACAGATATTAAATTACTAATTCCACGATCGTCCAATTTCTAACACTTTTTAAAAAAATTTTCATTACTTCATCAGCTGATTTACCTTACTTAGTTCTGCATTTCATCGCTCGTTACGTATATTTTAAGCATTTTATAAGGGAGGCGGGTTTTCATAATTAAAATAAGTCAAAACACTGTCTAAAAAGAGTTTAATTTACGGCAACAATAAATTTTATCATTAAGAGTTTGGAGAAATTGCTTTGATTTGTGATAGAGTCGCATATTTACAATTCCCGTCGAAAGTCCTTAGTTCGTATACCTACTTCTAAACACTTTACCCATCAAGTTCTCTCACTGTTTTTGCAAAAGCCAAAAGCATTTCGTCAGAGACATTTAAATGCAACAAAGATGATTTATGAAGAGCTGAATCAATCACATTGAAGTATTGAATGATGTAAAACATATTAAGATATGATATAAGATATGCGAGATATAAGAATTAAACTTGAAAGAAAGTCCTATTTTTGCAGTGTAAAGTGTAACCTAATATCGTGTACATGTACTTCCATGTTTTATCACAGGTTATGCTGGGCATCAAACGTTCCTTGATGTTTTTATAATTATGTTTCTGAAACTTATATTGCTGCCTTTCACATTTCTTTCACATTTCTTTATTGTCTTAGTAGATAAGGAGATTTGCAGAGTATGCCAAGGATGGCGGTTGCTTATAAACAGGAATACCTTTTTCTGCGATAGTTTTTTACTCGAACTTGGAGTAACTAGAAGGCTCTGTCTACCAGTTTGTACTTATAACAAAGGAGGGAAAAAGTAGCAAGTGAAGTTTAAACTTTGCAACAGCAATAAATAGAATGAAAATGTAGGAGGAGTATAAAAAAAAATTGCAGTCTCTGACCAGGAGAGCTAAAAAATATTAAAATCAAAGTATTGATGAGAGTACTCGTGGGAGTTGAACGTCACTCTATCCGTATTGTCGCAGGCTACAATATATATCCATCCTCACTGCACATATATTGGGGTCCATTGGTACTACGGTTCAAATTCATACCAGCGATGTTATCTGCCGATACATGTCCTTTCCCCCGAACAGTAAGAAAATACCATACCATATCAACATGTTTTTTCATTGGATTTCATGGCAAATTATATTTTTTTGAGAAATAACTTTTACGAGTTCATGGAGGGATGGAAGGTGAGAGACAGAGAGAAATTTTGGTACTTTTTAAGGAATTTATTTGACACCATTTGTACCATTTACTCTCTTCACAGCATAAATTTTTAAGATGTACTAGAGTTGAATTTTACAGCAGATGCTTCTTTGGAGTTTACAATTGCCATTGTGAATACAGAGAAAAATGAAATTGTCTTCTAATGAACTTGTAGTGTCATGAAGAAGACAAATATGATTTTTGATATACTATCGTCATCTTCTGTATTTCTGGAGAACATAAAGTTGGGGAGATATAAGGTAGGTACAAACCTAGAGTGACGAGTGATTTCTTAAATCTATGCAATTCTGCTAATTATTTTCGAAAATTATGACCTTTTCAAACCAAAGTCTACAATTCAAAACCATATCATTTTGTTTTTTATTAAGAGACAGAAATGTTTCTTCAATGGTTAATTTTCACTGCTCTTTAATTCATGGGATAAGAACCCATCATATTCTGATAAAAAAAAAAGATAATAATAGACATGGTATACCATCAAGGGTTCTTCTGTTAATTGCAATGCACCTATAAAGAATGTTTGAGAAACTGATAAAAGGATATTAACTAACTGACAGTGCATCATACATGTTTGTAAATCGTAATTCAATGTTCTCTATACAGTAATTTTCTAGGCCTTACACAAGTGTGCACCACGTAATATGTTTGAAAACATACCAGGGTATAACTTTGCGATCAGTGATCAGCAAATCTACATTACTTTTTGGTTATATTTTTTTTAATTAAAAAAGTATGTATCAACCAAAATTAAAATTATTCTAAAATGCTGAACAATGATCAAAATTACTAAAATTTAAAAAAATGAAAGTAGATGTTCTGATTGTTAATTTTATAGCTCTGGAGGCAATATGACTGATTGGACAATTAACTTAATTTCATGGAAACATAATAAGGTTTTCCAATATATTTTATCATATGCATATAAGACATCAAGTCTTTGAATTATGGGAACAGTCATTGTCATTTTAATAATGATATTCTGTACATGTTCGTACTTTTAAAAAAATTAAGGAAAAGTAATCAAAAGTCATAACACGTAGTACTGTAACAATTTTTTGTCTACCATGAGTTTTTTGGCAATAATTACTTTTATCATTTAGAGTTTGTAGAAATTGCTTTGACTCGTGATAGAGGCGTACATGTACAATTCTCGTCGAAAGTCCTTGGTACATGCACCTAGATGTAAACACTTTACCCAGATCTCTGCCCTGGGTAATTTCCTTACTGGTTTTGTCATTTAATTAATTTAATCAATATTTTATTATGTAAAGTAAGATTACATAATTGGATTGGACATCCTGAGGTATGGACTATCCAAGTCCTCTCTGGTTTTGTAAAAGCCTTTCGTCAGGGAAATTTACATGTAGATGCATTCAATAATAAAGATAATTTACAAAGAACTCAATAAATTTTCATTCATATCGAAGTACTGCATAATGTAAAACAATAAGATATAACAAATATTGGATTTAATACTCGAGAGGATGCCCTACTTTGGCAGTGTAAAGTGTATATTAATTTCATATACTGACAGGTAATATTTTATCACAGGTATTGCTAGGCATCAGAAGCTCCTTGAAGTTTTAAAATAATGTTTCTGATATTGCTGCCTTTCACATTTTTCTTGGTTGAAGCAGGTGACGAATCAGTCTTTGAAGAAGCTGTTTGTGAACCACCATCATCCTTTTTGACAGCTGATGCATTCTGGGATGGAGTTGAGAACTTCACGTCGTAAGCACCGTTGGATACTGCGGATTCTGAAGTCTCTTGAACTGATTTTTCCTGCTGTTCCTTCAGCAGTTTCCCTATCACTGGCGAATTTTGATACTCATGGGTTCTAACCTTCACCGGTTGAACACCAGAAGCACTACTTGTCTCTTGTTTTTTCTGCGGGTCTTGACTTTGTTTATCACAGTTACCAGCTATAATCTCTCTTTTATCCGTCATGACTTCGTACACGGGGTTCCCGCAGTCCAGACCCTCATGAGAGGACTGGGAGCCATCCACACTGTCTACCGTCTCAATGTACATGTATTCCTTGGTTTCACTTCCCTGAGAAACGAGATACCCTAGCTCATCCTGTTCTATCCCTGCAGCAGACGACAACGTGGGTTCCGCGTAAACTAGTTCTGCTGACGGAATCATGGGTCTCGAGAGTTGGTCATACTCTCGTTCTTCCCTGACGACAACAGGCGCCTCGTACATTTCCGGTTGAGACTTCTGAGACTTAGTCTGAAGTTTCTGCCTACATCTTTGTAAGGCGGTACCGATTCGTGAAGTCAGGCGTTCACTTCGTTCATTTGTTTGTGTGTTATCCATGTTTATTTCTGCATCTTCTTTCTTTTTTGTTGGATTCCGCCTGAAGGGTTGAAATATGTTTATTCACTTATAAATTATTCATTGATTTATTAAAGGAAGAAAAAAATATACATTTCATTTAAATTTCCATAAACGTACCTTTTCATAAATATAAGAACTGCGCATACAACAGCTATGATGGATATGAAAATGCCCACCACAACACCAGCTATCCAACCTGAAAAGAGGACGTTCAATTAAAAAAAATGGATTTAACGATATATGTATCGAATGTTTCTAATGAAATAATGAAAATGAATGTACGTTAAAATGGGTAAGAGAATGGCTAAGAAGCATACTGAATTAGAGTCCACATAAAATAATGAATTCAAAATGGGCTGTTGGATAGAAAGAAAACTAAATATATATACAAAATCAAAGTTTTCTACTGCATTTATTGTCAATGTGTGCTCAAGATATCAGTTGATTTTTTTTTTGCCATTAAACAAGAACAACTACTGCAGAAGACGGGTTCTATTTTTCAAGAAAATAAACTTTATAATAATTGTACATTAGAATTAATTATCAGTGTTTCTGCAGCAATGTCCACAATGACAGTAAAGTTTAATTTTCAAATCTCACCATGGTCGGGTTCAGATTGTTCATTCTTTGTCGTATTGAATGCAACCGTGGATCCTTCAGGGACCGGTGTGCTTCTAAAAATAGGGGTTGTTTCCACGGGTACCAGAGGGCTGGTACAAATTGATACTTCCTCATCAAAGAAGTAATCCGACCCGTAACCTCCATATTCTGGTGAATCATCTCTTATCAGATCTGCATCTAAAACGGAATGACATTAATCATTGTTTCAAATGGATGAAGGATAACACCTGCCAAAATCATCCATAAAATGATTATATATCGCTGTATTTGGGATGAGAATTGTTCTTTATGCTTATATAAATATTAGGGATGTCAACGAGTACCCGGTTAACCGGGTACTCGATCGAACGTCCGAGTATCGAATACTAAAATCGGTACTCGGTTACTCGGATGTATATTTTCAAATATTTCTAAGCTTATTTATTAATGCATTAAACAATCTGTTTTAAAACGTAAAATACTCATTGCACTTGTACATAAAGTAATTAGGGTTTCCTACTCCTCTAAATGACCGTTATCGCCCGTGGCAGTGTTTATATAGTAATTATCGTGACCAAGCACCTGTTACGGTTTATTCCCACTTAGCCAAAATTCTGAAATTCCTATTCCCACCCAGCCAAAATTGTTATTTTCACACCTGAGTGGTCACCTGTGCATAGTCTGTTTTAGACTGATTACCTGTAATTTACCTGTAATTTTCACCTGAGATGTATACATTTACCTATTTACTTATATATATGTTAACAAAAAATTAAATAAATAAATAAATTAAATAAATAAATAATATTAAATAAATTATATATTTATATAAATAAATAAAATAAAAAAAATAATTAATTAAAAAATAATAAAAAAGTTAAAAAAAAATAGATATTAAATAAAAATGGTGAAGATAGAAAGAAATTAAGAAAGAAAAAAAAGAAATAAGTAATACATTAATAAAAAAAATAGTTTACTTAATGAATAGATAAAAATCCATGTAGAAGTATTTAAGAAATAGTTAATTTAGCAATTCCTCCATCATAGATTACATTTTGTATAAAGTTTTTACAGGAAAAAAAATGTTGATAATTACCAAACCAGAGATAAATAAACAAAATGCAATTCGTGGTTAAATAAACAAAAGTGCCCTGTGATGCTTTGCCTAAGTTGGTATCTATTTGATAATTGATGTAATTAATGTATCCAGAAAGGAAATAATTGACATTCATTCCATTTGAAATCCTAGGATTAAAGCAATTATTATTCATTAAATGCTCTTTTTTTTTTTACTAATTCTAATGAAGAAAAAAAAAGATACTATGCATCACTTTATTAAGTATGGCGAACGTGCAAGTACGGGTGGATTATTTATAAAAATGATTACTAGTATATTTATGTAAGAATAGCTACTTTTGCATGTTAATGTAACTTAATTTATCTTAACTTAATTTAAAGTGTCAGTGTGATATTTTGTGTTTTTGCATTTGTGACATGAAAAAGAAAAAGAATTAAAATAAATATCTTGAAAACAAAATATGCTTCTTTATGTATTAATTTAGTTAAATCAATAAAAAAAGATCAAAGTACTCAGAAGTACAGAGAGACGGGCTCATTTACAGAGTAGAATGGATTTATTACATGAATCACGTTTATATTCTGATGAAAAAATTATTTTAAAACTATCAATATAAATGATAAGACACTGCCAGTGAGTTTTTCAATCCTAATACCACGGTCCGATTTTGTCAGAATCAGAATTAATCTGGTACCGCAGCTGAATGTAAACAAACAGGCCAGTCTGGTTCCCTCTCCTGCTTTACCTCGTATGTGTAGAGAACTACGGTAACACTGGTTATCAAAAATCCTTACGCTAATGAACTATGTTCTTTGACCTATGAAGTTTTCAAAGTCATTACTACTAATGTTTATTTTATATAGATAAAACTTCGTTTTATTTTTGTTGCTTTATTTAGCGTTTGTATTATCTTAAAGCGGTTGAGAGTAAGAACTATATTTTTGCACGTAACTTTAAAATGGCGACTATGGGGTCAACATCCTGCCTTGAACAGGATCACATAAGCCGGCAATTGCTCTTTGAGCAATAAGCCCGGCTAAAAAACTATGAATTTTAAAAAAGAAACAACAACAAAAAAAACATGTAATTAAAAATTAGAATAAAAAAAAAATTTAAAAATTGAAAAAAAAAACAAAAACAAAAATAAAAGTGGAATAAAAAAAATATTTAAAAAAAATGACATCAAGAATTAGACATGTTAGAAAAGACATTTTTATTCATTTTAACAAGAATTAAATGTAATAAATAAAGAATTTAAAATAATTCATAGCACTGGTCATTCTAAAACAGACTATAAGACACCTGTAATTAATTTCTTTTGTTCTCTCCCTGCCCTTACCTGTACACCATTCCCACTTAGCCAAAACCAGTCACCTGTATCAATTTCAGAATTTTGGCTAAGTGGGAAAACACCCCTGTTACCTGGCTTTTCTCACCTTCGACTGTCTTCTACCCTTTTTTTGACTTTCTTTAATTATTTGTTTACACTGAACATCGTTTAAGTTCTGTTATGATTAAATAAATTAGATAATTTTGTCAATTCTCCGAGAAGCCGTAAATTCTCGGGAAAAGAGACAGATGATATTACACGCGCGACTGTTGATATGGTTGTGTTTGATTACATGCCAATACATGTACAAATAGTTGAAGGCAAAGACTTTAAAAAAAACTTATGTCCATCGTTGCACCAAACTACAAAATACCGTCCTGTGATACTATAAAATCTAGGATCGAAAAGTATACGAAAATCGTAAATCGGCTCTGTTAGAACTTGGTCAAGTTCAAGTCAAACTGTACGACTGATATATACCTTGACGTCAAATGAAACAAAGAGTTACATGACAATTGCGGAGTAGATTATATTTTTTTTAAACAAAAACACCATGAACCACTTACGATTTTATTTCTTGAGTTTATCTGATAAATAGATTGAACTTTAAAAAATGTATTAAATTTCGTCGGGCACGAAGTTCTCATCATCGTAATGTTAGAACAGAAATGCATTTATGTGTAAACCTCCTATCAGAGCATGTGGTTTTATTTCTACAAGTGTTTACAATGTTTTACATTCATCAATTTACTTATTCATATTTATTTATATTACACTTTTACCGAGTACCCGGGTACTCGATCGGAAAAACGTCCGAGTAACCGAGTATTAAAAATTGACCGATTTGACATCCCTAATAAATATGCATTTAAAACTTTTGAGATCTAGGTCCAAAGAAATGTGCTAGAGAAGACTGACCGTGGCAAAATTTCAGAATGCACAACATTGAGATTAGATATATGTACTTTATACCTGTCTTGCACAGAAAAGGTCTGGTTTTTAATCCTAGTATTCTTGTCCAGATTGAAAAATTTCTACAGTTCAAATTATTAAAGATATTTAACTTGCATTCTGAAAAAGAAAAGAAATTAAACATTAACTGCAACATTAGTGTAAACATGTATAATCATTTTTACATCATTTGAAGAATCCAAAATTAATCATGTAAATGACATAGGTCGTAAATTAAAATAAATGTATTCAAAGTACAATGATAAGGAAAAAAAAGGAAAAGGGTTTCAATAAACTGAGTCTTTATTTCTCTGAAATAATATTCCTAGAATAAAAGATATGTCACTGATGTTTTACAAAAATAATATAAAAACTATCACGTTAACAAAACAAAATAAATTGTTTTTTTAAGATACAAAAATTAATTGTTGTATAGCACATTCAAATAAATTTAAAAAGTAAAACTTAGATTTACAATTAATTTTATTTGTTAATTTATAAAAATGCTAATCAATAATCGTTAATTTCACTGTGAAATCAGATAATCATACAAGTTGTAATCTAACCAAAATAAAAATTTTATTAATCCAACAGGAGAACCACCAATCGGATCCTTGCAAAATGTTATTTAGATTTGGAGGAATTCGTTGTGGTATTATTTCCCGCTACAATTCACAAGTTTTGACCGGAAGTTACCTTTTGTGTCGGTCCAGAACCAGACGTCGGGAGGAATACAATCCCAGTCTTGATTGGATGAGAGCTCAGCGAGCTCCCCCTGGTAGATAGTTCCTCGACGACAGTATTTCTCCGCTTCAGTGTATATTTTGCGGTCTTTTACAAAGTAAAAAGTAGAAGAAAAAACTGAAATAGAAAAAAGCATACTTATTTTATTACTTTTAACTTCATTTGTTTGAAATCGTAGCCAATGAATACAACATGCAGATGTAAGTACTACATGTTTATCGATCTTAATAATTACCGTAACAGATTTTCCAAAAAGGGGACAATATAACCAATTGAATTGTTTGTTTTAGATTTGTAAATAAAGGGTGAATAATTTATTTTGTCTATGAAATGGACTGTAAACACTTATTCTCCACTGATTGTAGGTCCCTTTTTGGGCTATACACACAGATAACCTTGAAGAGGATGGCGAAATACAACTCCGTTGTAATTGAATTACAGCTTACTGAATTACAGCGATACAGTTTATCCAATATTTACGGGAAATTTAAAGTCCTTGTCAGTTTATGTGGTCCATTTTCTCAATTCCAGAGAATCAAATTCACGTAACTATTTATGTAAAACTTTGTCATTTTCAATTTATTAGTGGTCCAATTTCTCAGTTCCAGAGAATCAAATTCAAGCAATTGTAAAATACATATACTTTAAAGAAATATGTCTTTTCCTGGCTTAATGGTGCCATTCAAATTATTGTAGAAATGTCCAAAAGTGTGTAATTATTAGGTTTTGCTATGTATCTTTCTTTGTATGCGTATATTTGTATGTAATTTATGCAGACTTCTTTTTAAGAAATCAACATATGAAATAAAATTTAAAAAAAACAGTTGCATTGTGAATGCAAGTAAAAGCAACAAAAATGATATTAAGGACTTTTACTCCTTTTCCCCTTGACCTTATTGAGTTCAGGTACAGGTCAGTAATTATAGTTCTATGTGACATCATTGCGAGTCATTGCTGTCCAAGTACATAAAGGCTCTAACATTTCCGTTTTACTAGTGTTTTAGAGTGCACGGTATGTGTAAAATATAACGGCACGGACTAGACAATATGTATAAGTGGCCCTAAAGTGGGTCATTTCGTATGTCGTTAATTTTATGGCCGTTTAGGTGCAAAGAATGACATGTATATCTTCTTTTTTCATTTATGGAATTAATTTTATTATCAGTAGTTGCAACTTATATATCCCTACATACTCAGATTACCTTCTTTAAACAGATATTAATAATTAAAATATTCCTCGTATAGTGGTATTCAAAGTATATTAATTTATTAGACTACAATTCGTATATTAAGTGTACTATTAAATCATGCATATAATTTCACGCCACTAGAAAATTGCAATAAATTAATGATCCGCCCCTACAGGTAGAGGTAATAAGTTGTTCCATCTATCAAAACTAATCAGAACAAGTTAGCAATGTAGGTGAGAGGACACATTCATAAAGTGTTTACCTTAGCGGAAAATTATCGTGAAAAACACGTTTATTTTTTGGCATTTTATTAAGGTTACAAAAAAGTAAATAAATGAATTAAGATAACCCCTTACCTGGCGTTGAACATATCCATAAACAACACAAAATCCAACGTCCGACACCGTTGTGTTCCGCCATTGTTGTTTACATACCGAGTATATGTTTAAATCTAAAGGTCACTAGGCGCAGACTATATTTAATCTACAATCAAATTTAAAGCATGACACATTCGACTAATCCCTGGTCTATTGCCCGTGGGAAGTTGTCTTTTTTGTAATCTTAGTACAAAAGAACCCATTTTGGGACAGTCATGATTACTCACTCATTTGAGGAACAGTTTACAAAGCTAAATTAACTCAACCTGCAAATTATTGTGACATTCGGGTAAATCAAACCCCAGTAAATAAATCCTTTCCAACTGTAATGCTATAATTAGGTAGAAATATTTCATTCATAAAAATTTGCTTTCAAACAAAAAGCATTTTACACACCTTATACATCGTGAACATGTTTATAATGCAGTGAATTGGTTGGTTAATTTACATTGTTTAAATTTTAACTCATTCAAACTCTCGTACAAATCACTTTTTGCTTCCTATTGGACCAGTGCTACTCTTCCTATTGGACCAGTGCTACTACAGATATTTGTTTGAAGCCTCATTCAAGTCGTATTCGGCATGGGATCGATCATGCATCCCAGAGCTCATGATGTTGTATCATAATTACCACAACCAAGTTAGTGTGGTTCTTGGAGTCTTCTTATAATAAAACCCACAAAGGAAGAAAAATTATTTATTATAATAGCAAAATATATTCCCGATGCTATCAACTGCTTTTGATACATGACATTATACTCTATTGATCATTGCAAGTTAGAGAGAAAACTTTGAGAGAGAGAGAGAGAGAGAGAGAGAGTATAATATAAGATCATTGAATGTTTTCGAATCAATTTTTAATAGTTACAATGTTATGAATTTTTATTTGGATTAAAAACAAATGTACAAAAAATGTTACATCATCAACAAATCAGTAAAGGAATAATATGTAATGCACATACATAAAAAAGTTATGTGACGTTTGTTCTGTCGTAGTCATTTTCTGTGGTATTGGTTTTCTTTTCTGCATTAGGTTTCACCGCCTTGAAAGTGTTATAATAATCATGTTGTGATGAAAATTTTGAATCTTTAGGTTGCGATTGGTTACATTTTTCGTAGTCGTTAGTAATCGGAATAGCTCGGGCAAGACTATACGTGTTTGCTTGTGGCGGTTTGCTGCAATTTGTATCATCTATATGAATGTAGTCATAATCGTTTTCTAACGTGGACTGGCCATTCGATGATATAGTGTCTACACCAGAAATAATATTATCATCTGCCTCCACCAGATAATCGATGTTATCGATGTTCCGTGATCGGATGGCGGAGGGATTTGGTTGTAAATAGTCCTCATGAGGATCAGATGCCCTCATGCATCCATACGAATGTTCCTGTCCTGGCCGAGGATGTACCGTGTCGTACTCATTTTGTGCGGGTTCCGGTTTCTTCCAAAATGACGCTCTTCTTAGAAGGTCTGGTTTTCTAAAACAATAGAAATCAATCCATTTGAGCCAATGAAAATACATGTAGCTTAAAATTTTAATTGAATTGATTGTCTCATGTGGTTTTATTTTATTAAAATCACAAATTGTGTATAAACTGCTAAAAATATACATACTTCCTCTTAAAATAGACGTACAATATTCCCAATACTGTAAATGCGAGAACCAAAATAAATATTATAACCGCAGCAGTTGTTCCTGTAAAACAATATATAAATGAAATGTCTTGTTATTGAAAACAACTTTTTATCGAAAGCAACAAGCCTATGATGATTTTCTGAAATTGTTTTTCTTTGCAAACATTTTTTATTCAAAGATTCTTTTGTTAATATTCTATCTTTAAAATTCAAAACATCATCACAAATTAAGAGTTCATAGTCACTGTTACAATTTAATTCTGATCTAATTATATAAATGCCGTCTGTATTTTTGCATTGAAGTGTTATAATGATGATAATTTATGATTTAATTCGGTACCTATGTTGGACATGTTTCCGGTCTCTTTTCTCTTATTCCGATTGTCAACATTCGTTTCGTTGTAACTGTCCCACGTGCTTATAATGGCGGGAAACGAAGTCGTTCCATCGCCACCTGGCGACTGTGTTCCGATAGTCTGTTTAGTTCTGATTGGTCTGGCAGTCCTTATGGACACTGGTCTTTTAGTGGGTCTTATTGGTGTAGGTGTGGTGAATTCAG